AGAGTAGCTAGAGTGCTGGGATGTGTGTTTGAAGCAAAAGGGAACGTTTTGAGGGGGTGTTAATGGAAATGTGCTTGTACTGTAAAAGTTCTTATTTAAATATTCACCGTATTTTTCTATCATACCTTATGTGACTTGTTTATTTCTAAACTGTGTCTGTGCCTGATGGACCAATCTGTCCTATTTGACACTTGATTCTTCCACACTGGAACTACCGCTTTCTCGTTCTAGTCCTACAGTGCACTCTCTGCTCCTACCCACTCTTCTCCTCATCCCTAAGGGTGGGTGCTCCCCACACTCCATCCTGGGTGTCTGTCCCTCCCACTCCGCTCATTCTCTGTGGGAGAGCGCATTCTCCTTTGAGCTTTGCATCATGACCAGTCCGCACCTCTCCTGAGTTCCCAAACCTCAAATATCATTCACCAATCGTGTCATCTGGGTGTGCAAAGGACACTTCAAAGTGAACTAATCTGATTGTCTTTTTCTGCACTTTCTGTCTTAGTAGTTAATACTCCTTTTCCAGTGACTCCAGGCAGAAAACCAAAGTGTTTTTATGCTTCCTTTTACATTTTATCTCACTCAACCTACATTAATAACAATGTTAAAGCTAATGCAGATGTAGTGCTCATTATGTACAATACCAAGCACCAAGTACGTAACTCATTTTAATATATGAACTCATTTTACCCTTAAGGGAAACTTTGACATCAATATTAATGTTACTTCCACTTATAGATGAGAAAACTGAAGCCCAGAACACAGCCAGTGCCGGAGAAGCTGGGGTACAAACCTAAAAGCACCGGCCCCAGAGTCGTGTTTAACCATTACCTCCTTCCCTTCGGCCTGCGTGGCAAGGAGGGTGGGATTGTGTGGGCTGTCTTCCCTTCGTCGGCCTCCCCTGAGCACCTACTGAAGGTCAGCCTACTCAGGTGCAGCCAACCTGCTCAGGCCATTGGGCTCTGCCCAAGGAGAGGGGAGAGGACTCACAGCGGCTCCTGGGTGCTTGTGAGAATCAGACTAGCTCTCGGATCTGAAGATGTGCATTAGGAACTATGAAACGCTACAAGTCTCATTTTTCTTTTTTTGCCACAGAGCCTACCAGAAAGGGTTGTTCGGCTCCCCTGGTTACTCAAGAAAGCGTTTCCTTCTGTCACTTCCAGGCCCATGCCTCGTAAGGCCCCTAGCCTGTTCTGATGTTTTTCCTTTGTTTACCATTTGTCTACTCAATTCCACCCTGGTCATCTGTCATTGCATCTCTTGTATTCCAACCTACCTTGGTACCTACCGCACTACCCTCAGCTGCAACCAGCGAGGCCCGTCGGCGGGAGACCATTCATGAGCTAGTACAGCCAGAGGGCAGGCAGGCAAGGATGGGCACGCAGACTGGTGCGCAGGCATGCGGGATCAGAGCAGCCTCTCGGGGGGCCTGTCTCTCGGTCAAAGTCCCAGCCATGCCCTCTCTCCTATGGCCCTGCTTCCATGCTTTGAGAGGTCCTTGCTCCGTCAGGGACCTTGGGCTAGACTTCCCCTGGGGGCCCAAGTTTCCTTATTTTCAAAAAGAGTGGGTTGATAAATTGATATCTGTTAAAGCTGGTGATAGATGTCTAGGGTCTCGCTATATTGTTTTCTGTACTTTTTATAATAATTCGCATAATAAAAACATTTTAAAGGTCAAATTCGATCAAATTAATGGATTGTAACCTTTTCTCTAACCAAAATCTTACAGAAAGCCTGATAGACATTTTTAAAAAAAGAAAGCCTGGTAAGTGAGGTAAAGGTAGGCTCTGGTTGGAGGGAAGCAGACCCCCTCCCTATTTCTCCCCCTACCCAAAGCACGGAATAAATACAGCTGAATGAAAATCACTGAACCTGGTTAATCTAAGGAGTTTTTAGAACAGTACTTTTATTTTCCTCTAGCTATACTGGCTTCTCTTTGACTATTAGCTAATACATCCCATCCCATGTGAGCCTAGGTTATTAGTGATCTCTGCAGTCTTTGGAGAATTTGTTGGAATGGTTGCGGAAACGTGGGCTGCTGATGGAGATGCATTTCAGTGTCTGTCTCTGCTGAGTGTTTATTAATAATCCTGTTAATCCCCACTGTAGTTCCTGGATCTAGCTAATGCCTCTTGGATGTCCTGAGGGGGCATTTTAAATTCTCCCTGATTTCTTGGAGCCAGACGCTCCCTTCTGCCTGGAGTCCTCTCTGATACTTCCATTCATGAATATTTTACATTTGATCTCCCTGATTATCTCTGCACACAATGGTCGTGGTGCACTGGCTGCACTTCTCAGGGAAGACATACCGGAGGCCCACAGTAAAAGCTTGGACTTGTAGACACAGTGCCGGAGATCTTTGTGCTCGCCACTTAGGCGGCCTTCCGCCATGCACAGCGCTGGAGGAGATGCTGAGAGGTGGGCTCCGCCCACAGCCTCGCATCCTAGCTTCTGGCCCAAAAGAGCTGGTAGTTTCACTGCGGATCAGAATCATAAGCTTGAGCCCAGCCCGGCCAACTTAGTAACTTAGCAAAACCCTGTCTCCAAGTAAAAAATTTTAAATGGCTGGTGGTTGTAGCCCAGTGCAAAGAATCTGGGTTTAATCCCCAGTACATAATAATAATAATATAAAATAAATCTATATCTATATCTACATATCTGCCCCAGGGAAAATGCAGTGAGATCTAACACTCTCATGTGATAGATGGAGTTAGAGAGGAGATGCAAGACTGGAAGGCCACAGATTCAGAAGTCACCAGGGTAAAGATAAAGATCCAGGGGCTGGGGATTTAGCTCAGTGGCACAGTGCCTGCCCGGCAAGCGCAAGGTCATGAGTTCGATTCCCGGTACCAGAAAAACAAACAAAAAAAAAGATAACGATCCAGTCAAGTATGGAGGCACATGCCTTGAATCCCAGCTACTCAAGCAGGAGGATCATAAGTTTGAAGCCAGCTTGGGCAACTTAGGGAGACTGTCTCAAAATTAAAAGAAAAAGTAGAGGCTGTGTGAAACCCCGAGTTCAATCCCAAGTATTTGAAAAAAAAGAAATCTCAACCTGAACTATAGGAGCCATCATGGCACCTCGAGGAGAGAGAAGAGGGCCAGGGAAACAGCAGGCCGTGGGAAAACACAGGAATGGTAGTGAAGGGGCAAGAGATGAACCAAAGGAGCAGAGTCCCGGAGGGCAGGGAAGGAAGCCATTTGCACATGGATGTGGTGGATGTGACATGCGACAAATGCCACGGAAACAGTGGATGGTGACTTGGAAATGTAGCGGAGCTTCTCGGGCAGGATCTCACCCACACATTTAGGGATTTGAAAAGCTGAGAGTTCGAGGCCAGCCTGAGCTCCACAGTGAATTCAAGGCCAGGCTGAACCACATAGTGAGACCCTGTCTCAAAAAAAGCGCTCTCCTTCTGGCTGCTGTGGGGGTGAGCTTCTGCTGTGACCCAAGGGGAAAGCCCAACATCCCAGCCCTCCAGATGGCATTTGAGAGGCATCTTGGGAGAAGGGAGGCACGGAACAGCCACCTGAGGCCTGCTCCTCCATGGCAGGGGGACGAGTGCTGTCTTCCAAGGAGGCTGGAGGACCTGGCCAGCGTGCAGCCCTGGGAAGCTGCCTGAGATACAGGCACTGCGGTACCCGCCTCTCCGAGCGGAGCTTCCTGTCCCCTCCTGCTCAGCTTTGGCTGGAGTGGATCGGAGGAGAGGAGAGAAGCCGGGCTCCTCCCTCAGGAATTTGTAACGTATTTGTGAAACTCAGAGTCTGGTGGCCTTGCGGGCTTGGAGGAACACAGACAAGGCCAAAGTTTCCCTTCCAAACTTCCTAGACTTTTTCCCTTGGTGACAAGCACAAACTCAGGCCCACTGCCAGATTTTACAAAGAACAGAGCCACAACATGGGTATACGGCCTTCCGTTCCTGAGTTACCCGTGGCCACACAGACCCTTGGATCTGACACTGAGGGGCCAGCCCTGGAGCATTCTACTGCCTATCCGCCCACTTTCTGACCCCCTGGTAAACCTTGGGTCCCCTCTGTACCTTAGGCTTGCCACTATAACCGCTGGTTACAATTCAAAGATGCCCAGCATACAGTGCCCATAGTAAGGACTGATCATCCGCTTCTCAGGGGGAATACTGATTGCAGCCCCTTCCAACTGACTGAGGCAGGTAGACCAGTACCCTAGGTCCTGTAGGCCAGGAGGGTATTTTAGAGGGGCAGCAAGGCTACATAAGGGCTCTGGACAGCCCAGGACCCAGCCCAGGGGTAGGAATAGCGAGGAGGGTGGCAAGGGGGACTGAAAAGGATGCACGTTCTGGACCACACAGAGAATGTGTATTCTCCCACCTTCCTTGTCATCTGTAGCAGCAAGAGTTTTGCACACTGGGCAATGCAAAACTAACTGGCTGCCTGCTGATTTGTCATTACTGGTCTTCTGCCACACCCAGCCAACCTTTCAGGGTCTCCCAGGAGACATTCCTTAGGGTTCGTGTGCGTCTGAAGAAGGCCTCATGAAAATGCTTTTTTTGCCTTAAAGTCTCCCTTGCTTTGGCCAGTTGGTTCTCTGCATTTTGTGGTGATGGGACTGTCTGGCCCGAGGGAAAAGGAACGAGAAGGCCCATCTCCAGGAGCACCTACCCTAAGCTTAATCCAGGACCCAGAAAGACCTTTCCTAACAGGTGTACAGGAAGGGCCTAGAGAGCAGGGCAGCTAGTATGAGAGAAGGCAGAGGAAGTTGTATGTGTTTAAGGCAACTGTGGGATTTCTGGAGGAGCCTGGGTCATGTGGGACTTAGAAGGCAGACATCCATTTGGGTGTAAGTGGGGCCGAGATCCTCGACCTTTCTGCCCAGCTCGGCGTCTTTGTCCCCTGGTGAACGGCTGTGCCCTCCCACTCTGAATGTGCAGCCTGCTGCCGGGGCAAATGCGCCCACAAGCCCCGAGGGCGGGGCGAAGGCTTGCTTCGCTTGCTCATGACTCTGTCTCTTGGCCTTCTCCCCTCAGGACCCAGCCACCGCCTCCATCTCAGACGGAGACTGTGACGCCCGGGAGGGTGAGTCAGTAGCCATGAATTACAAACCATCCCCGCTCCAGGTGAAGCTGGGTGAGTGTGTCCGGGGAGTAAGGAGGATGTGGGGAGTGGACAAGGTGCTCTGGGCTGGGTCTGAGGTGAGAGGTCACAAACAAAGCAGCTCGGGATAGATGATGCCAAGACTCAACCCCCAAGTCACTGGCACCGCCAGACACCGTATTTCCTAGAAAGCAAAGAACGTAATTATATCTCTCTTCAAGTCCCAAAATTCTAAGGAGGCATCTCTGAGGCTAAGAGGACTGCAGGTATGCCAAGGGGTAGTTGTAGGGATAAAAGCATGGAACCCCAGGGGGAGGACTTGGAAATCCCATCAAACACTCGATCAGAGCCAGGCATGGTGGCACACACCTACACGCCTGTAATCCCGGCACTTGGAAGGCGGAGGCAGGAGGATCGCTGTGAGTTTACGGCCAACCTGGGCTACATAGTGAATTCAAGCCCAGCCTGAAATACACAGGGAGACCCTGTCTCAAAGCAAGCAAGCAAGCAAGCAAGAATGAATAAATTAGGCTGATAGTAAGCTGCCTTGTAGGTGGGTGTCAGTTACTGTGTCTGAGGGGTAGAAAGGAATGAGGGCTCCAAAGCCCAGACGCTGAGCCGCTCTCTGCTCTCCGGCCTCCTACCACTCGGAAGTCCCACAGCCCAGCTGGCTCCTGTTAGGGAAGGCGGACCCTTACTGTTCACCTCAAACATCCCACACCTCTCCAGAGCCTCAGCGCCTTTCCCGGGGTTATCGCACATGCGCTGACTGTGCAGCTGGCTCCCAAGCACTGCCCACAACTGCTGCGTCTGAGCGCTGCCCCTTTCCCTGTAGGGCAAAGTCCCGCTGACCCAAGGCTGCTGTACGTTCAGACTGTCACCGAAGATGTGGCTCATGAGGAGAACCCACAACACAAAGCACACAGGAAAGAGTGTGATCCGTGCAGGCCCCGCCACCCTCAGACCTGCTCTGCCATCCCGCCGCTCCAGCCGTCCCCCTCCTCAGGTCCCGCTGCCCAGCACACAGCTGGGCCTCCCTCAGCCCTGAGAACCTGTCCCCTCTCTTCAAAAACCTTCCCTCCGCAGCCGCTAGGGCTCCTTCCACAGGGTTCTTGACTTTCTTGTTTTGCTTGTAAATTTTATTTATTTTTATTTTTGTGTTGGTGAGGGTCAAATCCAGGGCCACGAGACAAGTGCTGTAGCACGGAGCCACAGTCCCAGCGCAAGAGCCCCGATCTTCCGGTCGGCTCCGGTCCCCTGCCTTTCTCCCTTGAGACCAGGCTCAGGGAGCCCGCTCAGCTGGTTTTCTAGCTGAGAAACACGTTCCCGAGGTGGCGCTGCCCGTCTTCCCTGGACATCGAATTCTAACTGCAGCCAGCTTTGCTTGTTAGCTGTTGCTTAACAGTACGGGTATTTCACTGAACATCAATTCTCCTCCACGCTCCCGAGCACGTTCTCCTCCCCAGGCGTCGGTCCGAGCGTCTGCAGTTTGCGCCGCTCTGTGTCACTTCAGCGTCGGTGGTGTCACACTGCGCACACTTTCTGAAACCTGTCCCTCCCCTCACTTGCTGCCCTTTCCGTCTCAGTGTGGAGACTGACTTCGTTCCTTTAAATGGTTGTATAGTAGTCCAGAGTTTGGTTTTTGCCAGTTGGTTTGCATTTTTTACTGTGCTAAACAATGTTAGCATGCCTTCAAACAACCTTTCCCCTCCCCGTCACACTCCCGAAGCTCACCGAAATCCACAGCTACCATTAGGAACTGTAAGGCAAATTGCACCCCCTGGAGGTTGGTAGTGGTAATGGCCGCTACCGCCTGCTGGAAAGAGCGGCAAAGCTGGAGTGAGGTCGTGCTGATACACAGTCAGGGCTTTGCTGGTGGTGGGACCCCTGCAATCCCGGCGCTCGGAGAGGCTGGTTGCAGCTCCAAGTCCAGCCTGGGAAATTTAGCAACTTAACGAGACCCTGCGTTAGAATAAAAACAAACAAACAAAAAAGGGCTGGAGAGGTAGCTCAGTGCAAAGGCCCTGGGTTCAATGCCCAGTATAAAAAGGAAAAGAAAAAAAAAAAGGCAAAAAGAAAGAGATAGGGGCTGGGGATTTAGCTCAGCGGCAAAAGCACCTGCCTGGCAAGCGCAAGGTCGTGAGTTCGGTTCCCGGTACCGGAGAAAAACCAAAAAAAAAAAAAAAAAAAAAAGAAGATGAAAGATTCAGAGGCCTGAAGGGCTGGGGACATTTTAAAATAAATCAGTTCCCATGCTTCTGCTCTGCAGTGCACTATTGTTGTTTTGAGACAACTTCTAGTAGCCCTTTCACACAAAAGATCCTTTTCCTGGATCTGGGCTTTACTTGATAAGCGTAGGAAGGAATAGACGGGCCTCCTCCAGGACCAGGCAGTTACCGGCGCAACCGTCGCCTTACACCGAGCAGCGGGTCAGTGGCGGCCCGCCCCGCGCTGGGAGACTGGACCCTCAGCCTAGGACGAACCCGAGCCTCGCTGAGGCAGCACGGCCAAGCGGCCCCCGCCACTTCCGTCTGCTCTTCCGGCCCTTTCTGCCCCTCCCCCACAGCTTTCGAAGGTCCCTTTTTCCGTCTGTGCTGGCCCCTGACTCTTCATTCTGACCTCCAGGCCTTCCTGCTCTGAGTTGTAGCCAGAGAGGTCTCTAACCTCAGCACAGGACTTGACCCGTGACTTGTGAGGCCAGTGTTTGCTGCGTGGAGGGCTAAATGGCTCCTTGACCAGCCTCACTTCTGACCCACATGGATGCTCATTTCTGAATACTTCAGTGGTTTGGTCTGGTTTGGGTTTGGGTTTGGGTTTTGTAGCAAACCCAGGGCTCTGTGCGTGCCAGGCGAACCCCGAGCCACACCTCCAGCCCCGAGTGTGCTCCAGTGCACACTGTCACCCCCAGAATGCAGCCTCTCCCCAGCTCACCAGGGAAGCCCGCCCCGCCTTCCCGGGATCAGCTGAGCCCCACAGGGGAGCTGCGGCTTCTCCAAGGCAGGCTCACCTCCCCGTGACACACACTGCCTGCCTCAGACCACCACAGCTGAGCAGTCTGTGGAGGAGCAAGGGGCTCACAGCGGAGGCTGCCCCCAGCAGGAAGGCAGTGTGGCCTTGGGGGCAGCCTCCTTCCCGTGTTCCCTGCAGAAAAGCAGCGGGAGCTGGCCCGGAAGGGCTCCCTGAAGAACGGCAGCATGGGCAGCCCCGTGAACCAACAACCCAAGAAGAACAACGTCATGGCCCGGACAAGGTAGAGGCCCTCCCCAGCCCGCCTGGAGCCTGCCGGCCAGCTCTGGCCAGCTCCCATGGCAGCTGGTCCTGAGCCTCCCCTCTCCCCTGCGTCCGCAGGTGGGAGCTAAGACGGGGAGGGGCTGAGGACGGGGAAAACGAGGAGGAGGTGGGGTGGGATGCAGCCCAGTCCTTCCCAGCTTTGTGTGCTCCCGTTCCCGTCTCAACTCCAAACACTCTTCACCCAGGCTGGTTGTCCCCAATAAAGGCTACTCCTCGCTTGACCAGAGCCCAGATGAGAAGCCGCTGGTAGCCCTTGACACGGACAGGTATGTGCGGGGGGCAGCTGGGCAAGCCGCTGGAGCCTGTGTGAGCTACAGCGCCAGGAGTGCGGTATTCCTTAGCCAGAGGCTCTCCAGGGTGAATTCCCCAGGGCACAGGATTTTGTCCGGAAGGAGGAGAGCGGGCAGAGGGACAAGGACCAGCCCAGTCTACCGCCATCCTGGAACAACTGACCCAGCGACTGCCCTCGGGGCGCTGATGTCCCCGAACAGCAGGGCGTGCTTACTGTCCTGCCCTCCGCCCCCAACAAAGAGTCCTGGGGAAACACCTGGCTAGCCCTGGACTGCGGGAAAACCCAACAAGTCAGTGTGATTTGGGCCTAGCAAATAAGGAGAGAAGGAGTTGAAAAGGGTAACAGCTCTTTTTAGAAAAAAATCAACAGTGGCAATCCATTTGGAAGGGCGCAGCCAGGCCTCTGTCTTTGACCCTCTGCATCTGCACAAGCGTGGGTTTGCTTAGGGGTGGTGTGTGTTTAGCTTCTTGGGGGCAGGGCACGGTGCGGGCTGATGGGGGCGGCCAGGAGTGAGAGAGTTTTCCATTAATTTTCCTGAATCGCCTCCTCTCTGCCCTCTTCTCCACGGCCAGCGATGACGACTTCGACATGTCCAGATACTCCTCTTCTGGCTACTCCTCTGCTGAGGTGAGGCCCCACCCCTCGCCACCCTAGGCCTGCCTGAGCAAGGACCACCTCCACCAAGGAGCAGGAGCGGGGTGATGCCAAGCCATCCCCAGAGAGCGAGGGATGGGCTCAGCTGGGCAGAGCTCCATGCGGGACCAGGCCTGGGGTGGCCTGGACGTAATCACTGAGCTCAATTTGGGGACCCCAGGGTTAGAGCCCAGAGTTATTAGAACGGGGTTCTTGAATGGAACGGGCTGTGAAATGCAGGCGGCAGTTAAGGAGCGGGCGGACAGGAGCAGGACTAGAGGGGAGGCCGGCCTCGCAGTGGGGAGGCCGCATCTGGCCGGCCTCAGGAAGCCGGGCTACACAGGGAGTGGCAGGCAAGGGCAGGGCGGGAGGAGGAGGGCGGGCCTGGGCCTGTGGAGAGACCCGGTGGCTGGGATAGGGGAGGCCTGTGGCAGGGATGGCCTTGGTCCTGGCAGCTCCGGGGGGGGGGGGGGGTTGCCTTGCGGAGGAAGGAAGCCCCAAGCCTGACCTCCCTCCCCTTTGTCTACAGCAGATCAACCAAGATTTGAACATCCAGCTGCTGAAGGACGGCTACCGGTTAGACGAGATCCCCGACGACGAGGACCTCGACCTCATCCCCCCCAAGTCTGTGAACCCCACCTGCATGTGCTGCCAGGCAACGTCCTCCACCGCCTGCCACATCCAGTAGCGGGCGGGGCTGTTGCGGCCTCCCGGGAGGCACGACGGCCGGGCGGCTGCTCGGGCGGGCCGACCCCTCGCTCCCGCCCGCCCCGGGCTGTGCCCCCGCAGCCGCCAACCTGTAACAGTCATTGCTTCCTCCTATGGTAGGACGTGTACCTCTGTGTGTTCCTGGAGCCGGAGAAACCAGAACCGGGTCTCTCGCCCCGCGGGGGGCTGAGGAGGGGTGGGGCTCTTTGTTCAGCTATTTGGGGGACCCCGCCCAGCGCACTGGCCTCCTCCCCAGGGCTGCAGTCTCTGGACGCGGGAAGTCAACACCGATACGCAGGGAGGAGGCGATCACACAGTCAGGGGCTCGGCTCCACCCCAGCAAAGCCATGGACCCCGGCCTGGTGGGGAAGGGAGGGGAGGGAAGGCCCGGGCAGTGGGAGCAGCGCCGCGCCGTGCCCCGCAGCCCTGGACCGCTTTGTGTTTCTCCCCGCACCTCCGCACCCCGAGGGGAAGCCTGTCAAGGAGGCCCGTGGGTATGGCCCCCATCGGATCACTGCCTTCCTCTGCTTTGTCCCGCTCGGCCCCTTCCACGCCCTCTGGCCGTGGGAGAAGGAAAGAGAGAGGCCCCCGGGGTGGCGGGGGTGGTAAGACCTGTCCTCACTGGTTCCTGAAACCGCACTTGTCCCTGCCTCCCCGGTGCCCCGCCCCCAGCCCTTCTGCCCACTGCCCAGGCTGGACGCAGCGCACCGGCCGGTACCCCCCGTTCCTGTCCCGCTCCAGCCCGCAGGCTGGCAGGCTGCCTCCTATTAAATCTCTTCAAAGAGCAGGCTTGGGAAGATGCAAGGGATTGGTGGCGGTCCACACGCGGCAGTGAGTGCTCGCCAGAGTGTGTGTGTGTGTCTGCTGGGCCTGTCTCCCCGGTGTCCCCTCCTGTCACAGATGTGTCAGCGTGACTGTGTGATGTTTGCCGCTGGAGAGGCTGCTCTGCAGGGCAGCGGGCAGAGCCTGGCCTGGGAGCCCAGAGCCGCGTTCTGCGCCCAGCTCCGAGCTCCATCTGACCTCCAGCGAGCTGCGCGCCGTCTCTGGGCTGCAGTTTCCTCAACTGGAAAATACCAGCAGCTGAAATTCTTGTTAAGGTCCTTTCACACCCAGGGGAATTTCTTCACAGCGATTTCTGCAGAGGGGTGTGAGACCTCGCGTGTCTCTGAGTGTAGGGGGGCTCCCGGAGGGGTGTTTGTGTGGAAAGGGGAAGTGTGTGCGATCTGTGTGTCTGTGAGTGTGAGTGTGCAGCGGTGTCTACTTTGTGGATGCGACTGTGTGAAGTATCTGTAGGTGAGGAATTCGTTCTGTTGCTTCCGCCACTACTGCTGGTCTCGGGCCAGAAGCCAAAACAGCTGAGGACACAGATCAAAAGGGAAGATGAATAGGGCCCTCCCTGGGCTGGGCGATCTGGAGCCCGCCTCCGTGTGAAGGAAAGCGAAAGCACATGTAGCCTCAGACCTTCCCGCGCCCACAGGCCGCCTCCACAGAGCGAGGCGGTGCTGCCCCGGACCCGAGCTGCCAGCCCCCACACACGGTTCCCCTGCCGCAGCAGCCCCACGGGCCTCCCAGACACTAGTCCTGGGAGGCAGGAGCGGGAAGGGGTAGGGAGCGGGCAGAGGGCAGCACCATTCCCCCCCCCCCCGCACCCAGGATCTGCCAAAGTACTGGGGCGCAACTCCGTTCCCCACGCTTCCAACCCACCTTGGTCTCTTCTAATGCGGGACTCTAGTTAGATGATGAAAAAATGCCCAAGGGAGGCAAGGACTGAAGTATCTTCCGGACCCACAAGCCCCACAGTGGGCCCCACCTGAGCCCCTCTCCCACCCTGGTCAGCATCCCACCACTGTCACCTGGCCCCGGAACCAGGCCTCCCTCTACCACCATTACCGCCCTGGGCTCCTGGGTTCCCTCTCTACAATATGGGTACCTCCCCTTTTTGAGACTTCTGCCTTTACTGTGTGACACTGGCCCACCGGCCAGTCTCTGTGGCCCTGAGGAAGCAGGGAAGAGCTCCCTGCCCGCAGGATGTAAAAGTTCCCGGCAGGCAAGGACTCAGCTCAGGCAGTACATCAGTGGCGGGGAGAGGGCAAGCCGGCAGCTTCTGCGTCCAGACTTCATGGTTCCCTCCTTCCCATCCTAGGAGGCTGAAGGGGAAGGCCCCAGGCCCCCTGCCCCGCCCGCGTTAGGTACTGCCTTAACTCCCCTCTCCCCAGCTGCGGCTGCTGCCCAGCCAGGTTTCTCCGTGCTCACTAACTTATTTTCAGGAAGGTGTGTGGAAGACATGAGCCGTGTATAATATTTTTTTTAACATTTCCATCGCAGTATTGACCATCATCCTTGGTTGTGTATCGTGTAACACAAATAATGATATTAAAAGCATCAAACAAGCCAGCCTCAGCTCCCTCCCTGGGGTGGGCGCAAGGGCCGTGAAGCGGGAAGGGGGCGGACCCATCTGGACGCACGTGACACCTCACCTCCGCTCGTGGACTTCCGGTGCCACTGAGCGGCTGCGTGCCTCTGGGTGAGTCTCGGCCCTCAGGACTTCTGTCCTCCAAAAAGTGAGACGCCCCGCCTGGGAGGTCTCCAAGAGCCCTCTGGACTCTTTGAAACCGGCCTCTGGAGGGTCTCAGGCAGGAAGGGGCTGGGAGTAGGGAGGAAATGAGGCCTCCTCAGCTCCCCCGGGGATGGGGCTGAGCCAGGTGATCTCACAATGGGCAGTGCTGGCCCTGGAGCAGGAGGCAGGGTAGGGTGAGAGCGCGCAGGTCGCAGGGGAGGGCAGCTGAGAGACCCTCCACGGGGGCCACAGCAGCGAGGAGCACCTGCCGGAGTTAGGGGTGGTCACTGATGTCCAGCAGGAGTCTTGAGAGGTAGAGCTCACCGCAGCATCCCGGAGGTCCCACCATGTTCCTCTTCTCTCACAAGACCAAGACCCCCATCAGCACCTACACTGACTCCTACCGGGCCCCCACCTCCATCAAGGAGGTCTACAAGGACCCGCCTCTGTGGGCCTGGGAAGCCAACAAGTTCCTGACCCCGGTGAGCAGAGCATGCGGCTGTGTGTGTCTAGACGGCTGGCGTGTGTGGTTATCACGGCATCTGTAATGATCTGTAGCTTGGGTATGCATGTATTCATTTTCCTGGATACAGAATTCACAATGAGGGCCCGGGAGATAGCTCAGCAGTACAAGCGCCTGCCCAGCAAGTGCAAGGTCCTGAGTTAGATTCCCGGTACAAAAAAAAAAAAAAACTCATTCACAAAGGTATGTAAAATAGCATAGGACCTTGTCCTTGTGGAACTGTACCAGGGTAGCTGGTGGGAGAAGACAGATAAGAAACGAATTTCACAAACTGTCCAAAGTGTTGTAAAGGAAATAAACAAGGCAATGGAAATGAAAAGAAACAGCGTAATTAGTTAGGTCAGGGCAGACCCCTTCTGAGGCGACACGGAAAGAGACTGAGACTGGAAGGACGAGCGAGAACTATCCATTCGAACAGCTCAAAGAATAGAAGAGCTGAAAGTTTCGAACAGCGTCATCAGAAAGTGCAAAGGCCCTGAGGCTGCCTGTTGAATAGGCCAGGACATATCCTGCAGGTTTGTCTTTGTGTTTACATATACCGCACACCACAATCTCCTGTGTCTGTCTGTGCTTGAAGAGGAGTAGCCAAGGGTGTCAGCGCAACTGCCACCAAAGGGAGAGGCACTCTAGGAGTCTCCCTGGGACTCTGCCTAAAAGAAGTCATGAGTGTGAACTGTCCAACGAAATGCTGCGGGGTATCTTTGTGTGTAGGCACCCAGTGCACAAAAAGGACAGGTCAGCCCCGGCCTTGAGGAGCTCCCAGCAAAAAAGGTGAACAAAGTCAGTTCCCCAAATGTGGGTCCTGTGCCACAAGGGCATGTGATGACGGGCACAAGAGCACATCCAGAACCTGGGGGCCAGGCTGCGGAGAGACGAGGCGAGAGGGTTGCAAAGGCAGCCTGGGCTCTCCCAGGACCTGAAAGCGTGTGTGTGTGTGTGTGTGTGTGTGTGTGGAGGGGGATCAAACATGCTCGTGTACCACTGAGCCACGCCCTCGGCCCTTCATATATTCTAATACGGCCTACTAATAGGAAGCGAAAACATTTTCACAAAAATGACATCATATTGTACTGGTATTTTGAATCTTGCATTTTTTATATAGCCACACATCAGGTATATTTTCCTGTATCAGAAATAGTCTCCAGCTGGGCATGGTGGCACATAGCTATAATCCTAGCACTTTGGGAGGCTGAGGCAGGAACATCATAAGTTTGAGCCCAGCCCCAATTTGACGAGACCCCATCTCAAATTTAAAATAATTTTTTTTGGTTTTTTGAGACAGGATCTAGCTATTTAGTCCAGACTGGACTTGAACTCACTCTGTTGCCCAGGCTGGCCTCAAACTCACTGCAATCCTCCCGCCTCAGCCTCCTGAGTGCTGGGATTACTGGCATTTACCACCATGCCTGACTTCAAATAAAAATTTTTTGCTAGGAATATAGTTTAGTGCAAAAGTCCTGGGTTGAATTCCCAAAACCTCATAAAAAAATCTAATAAAATCTAACTGCATAGTATTCTATTTTATGAATGTACATAATGTCTTTAAAGAATTTTATATTATCCAAAATTTAAATTATTTACACAATTTTGCTAGTATAATAATTCTTGTAGTTATATCTCTGTACACAATTTTATTTCCTTGGATAAATTTATAGACATGAAATTGTTAAAGGATATAAGCATTTTTCAAACTTTCAATATATTCCTTAAATTGCTGTATTAAGAGGTGTAATAATTTACACTCCCACAGGCAAAATATGAGAGTGCTTGCCTACATTTCAAGACTCAGTAGGAGGGAATTTTAAGAGGTAGATCACATCCAGGTGTGGGGGCGCACACCTGTAATCTCAGTACTCAAGAGGCTGAGGCAGGAGTGCCATGAGTTCGAGGCCAGCCACGACAACCTAACGAGACCCTGTCTCCAAAGCCAGAAAAACCAGAATCAGCGATCTTAGTAACCACTTGGACGTGGAGAGGGGAGAGGATTAGGATGACCCCTGGGTTTTGGCCCTACCAACTGGAATTACAGTGCAGCTATAATGGAGATTTGAAATAACAGATTAGAGCCTTGCAGTTCATTTTGAGGCAGAAATTCTTGAGAAAATCCAGAAAAGTTATCTGGCCAACAACTGGATATACTGCCCAGTACTTTATATGAAGCAAAGGAAAGAGATTTGCTTGGAGATACAGATTTTGAAGCTACTATTGCCTAAGTGGTAGCCAAAATCGTAAGAGTGGAGGAGCTTGCCAAAGAAGCGTGAGAAAACCGCCCGGGACAGAACTGGGAAGATCAGCAGCACTCCAGGAGGAGGTAAAAAGCAGCAGCACGAAAGGGACACAGAGTTATGGCCGGAGAGACAGGAGGAAAATCAGAGGGAACCGGGAGCCACGGCCTTGCTAGAAGACGGTCAGTGTCAGACGCTGTCGACGCACAAGGGACCTCTTGGAAGTCACATGAGTGACCGGTGCGGACGATGCGGAGGGCAGCAAGGGTCACACGGGGGAGGGGGCGCGGGGAGGGAAGCCGTCTGCTTCCTGCTACTTCCGGCCGCTGCTGTGTCTGGGACTCTCACAGAGGTGAGTGGTAGATACATCTAGGACAGGATGGCTCTGAGGGCAAACTGCACACACATTCCACACACGCACACCCATCCCACCCTCACACACACTCCACACGATTATACACACACACACTTATTCCACACACATCCCACCCTCACACACCCTCCACACAATTA